AACAAAATCTCACTATCCCTCTTTGGGGGAATGGTGGGACGCAGGCACAAACCTATTTTCTAACCTTTTCAACGTATATTCACCTATATTGGCAGGTGGAAGGAAGAAACAAGAAAAAAAACTGAAAAGGAAAATCGCATACGCTGAGCAACGAATGGATGACCATCCTATCTCTGTGATAGTATGGGGCAAAGAACGGGCCCGTCTCCTCACTGAGTGGGACACCTTGCAACAGAAACACTTCGAGATCTGGGCGGAAAAATTTCGGATTAAAGGAGTGGCGGTTTTTGACAGAATGACCAAAGAGTCATTTCAAACATTACTCTCATCACGAACCTCTCCGCCAATGAAGGAATTATGTCATCCCTATGATGTCGACGCTCCTAAAGCCAAGGAATTGATTAAGCTATGCGAATATGCCTCGTTATATTATTGTGATATTCTTACATCTCGGAACCAAGGTGGTGTTATTGACGGTAGCCTGGATGCAGGCAACTCCCACTGGGACAACACAGTGATCAGACTGTCTACTCCCGGTAAGTTAGACCTTGATCGACCGATTACGGAGACCGAAGCTCATGAAGCACTTAAAGCTATGGCAAAAGGCAAAGCCCCAGGCTGTGATGGCTTGCCAACGGAACTGTTTTTGTGCATCTGGGAGGAGGTCGGATCTCATTTGATCGAGTTATAGAATAATATATTAGAGGGAGATCAGCTATCAGTTAACATGATAAGAGGCATTATTTCCCTGCTCTTTAAAAAGGGAAGCCGCTCAGAGATCCGTAATTGGCGCCCCATTTCGGTTTTTAATGTGTCCTATAAACTCTTGACAAAAGTTATGGCACGCCGTCTAGGCGGCTACCTTCCAAACCTGGTGGTCCCTGACTGGGCAACTTTCATCAGAGATTGTTCAATCTTCGATAACATTGTTACAACAACAGAAATACTCGAGTTAATCTACAATGAACAAAACGATATCGCAGTTCTCCTGCTAAATTTAGAAAAAACATATGACCGAGTGAATTGGTCATATGTACTCACCACTTTGAAATGGTTGAGCTTTGGGAATAATTTCATTTGTTGGGTCATAGCTCTCTACTCTCTCTCCACAGCATGCGTCATGGTGAACGGGAGGCTTTCTAAGGAATTTACGTTGAGTTGGTCCCTGCGACAGAGATGTCCGTTAGCCCCATTGTATTTCGCACTTCAGCTCGAGGTGGTCTTAAACAATATTCGAGCTCACCCCCAAATCCATGGTATGCCCACGGGTCCTACATCGTACAAGGTCAAAGCCTTAGCCGATGACCTGTTCGCAGTATCAGAGAACTCCCCAGCCTCGCTTCTAGCTCTCGAATCCTGCTTAGACGAGTATGCCGTTCTGTCAGAAGTTGCCACTAATTGGCACAAATCGTTTTTTTTTTTACAAGAGGGATATGATTTAGCAGTATAGTGGGGAATGAAGCGTATTTCAAGGCAAGGCTCCGAACGCTTCTTGGGAGTACAGATCTCCCTGGGAGAATGTTCCGAAGCACAAAATGATATCTTACTGAAGAAATGCATGCACAAATTAGTAACATGGGGGAAAGTTCCCCACCTCTCACTTGTCAGTCGTGCTATGGTGCTGAATGGGGCCCTATTTGCCTTGTTGTGGTTCGTAGGAACTGTGAGGGTCTTTGACCCACAATTATATGCTTTGATCAAACGGAGAGCAATAAGGTTTATTTGGAAACCTTATGTTGAGGACGAGGTCAACTTCTTTTCAAAGGTGGCTTGAGAAATGCTTTGCCTCCCAAGAGAGGAAGGTGGACTTGGTATCCTCGACCCCAAAAAACAAAATGAGGCAACACTTGTTAGATGGGTTGTACGTGTATGCTTGGAGTCCCAAGTACCACACTGATTGAGAGAAAAATGCTTAGAATTAAAGATATTTGGGACAAATGGACAAGTTGCTGGATTTATGAGGAAAAGTTGAAAGAGAAACTGGGGAGACTAAGGTATGTTGAAGCACGCAGGAACCTGATCATCTGTGCAATTCCATTCAGCTGGGTTTCTCTGATTGGCCCTGAGGGAGTCGATCCCGCAGGTACATGGTTTACGAGTACATCGTCAACCGAAAATCGTGTATGGAAGCTCGTAAAAATACCGGCAGACGGTAAAAGGATATTTCAGAGTTGGCTGAGCAAGAATACCTCGAGTCCATAGGAAGACAATGTTCCTCCCCCAGTGGGAATGAAACTTGCACAAGTAAAAGTATTTGAAAACTCAGACGCAGCTGGAAGAACCTCAATCATTATATTTGACAATGGAAAGTCAGTCTCTCAGGTGCGTATAGACCCAAATCAGTGGGCATGGAGGACTAAAGGAAAGCAAAGGGAAAACCTGTGCTTAATAGATTATCACCAAAGACTTGGTTATCACCTGGTTGCTCCAACGAAGGGTCCTGAAGTGATGGCCAGATCCCGCTGGGCCAAGCTGCTAAACGTGGAAGGGAAAAAAGTGGAAAAAACACTGGTGAAATGTTGGGATCAGTTGAAGTTTATTGCCTGTCAACAACAGGCTGCCACTCTGTGGCTGTTATCCCTTATGGCAACTCCGTCGGCAGTTTGGCTTGCTGAGCATAGTCTCAACATTGATCTAACATGTATGAGATGTAGCTGGGCTTTCAAATCTACCATCCATCTTTGGTGGGATTGCCCCAGGTCTGTGAGACTGTAGAAATGGATTATTTCTGTCTGGGACAGAGTATCGGGCCCAGCCTTCCTGTGGTCTAAGATGTGTTTTTTGTTGGAAGGGATTCCAGATGGTTTTTCTATCGCCAAGGGTTGGGGTTATGTAGCCCAGACCATACGGGCAGTGGGTATCTCGATTATCTGGCAGGAACGAAATGATATAGTGTTTGAGAAGATGGATTGGCCTAATAAACAGGTAAGAGTCACTTTCCTGATAAATCTCATGATTGCAATTTTGGCGGACTGGCGACAAAACTACCTTTGCTACAGTTCCGAGTGGGTTGGAATGGTTCCACGAAACTTTGTGTCTTCAAAACACGATTGCATCGATTGAGTGCTCAGAAAGACTATCCTTGAAAGATTGGTTGTTTAAGAAAGAAGCGTAATAAGATTGATACAACTACTAACCTGGTTCGCTTGGTTATGATTCATTCGCCGGTAGACAGGCAAGGGGAAAGATTGAGGTGGGAGTTACATACGTCGTCTGCCAGAATCCTTGGGGGTTCCTAGTGGTCGCATTTAGACCACTTGTTGCATAAAATAGTAATGTAGATGGAATATGGTCTGTTTAGTTAGTAGGTAGGTTATAAGTTTCTTTTGTTCAGTTGAGCTGGCAGGATTGAGATTGTTTTCTTTTGATTGTTGTTTTTTTTTCTGCCGTGAGGAATATTTTTTCCTCCTTTTAGTAGGTTTGTTGGTAGTTTTTTTTTGGTTTTGCTTCTTTCAATTAGGGTTGTTTGTTTTTTTTACCTCGAGCGATTGGTTTTTTTTCCCCCCTTTTCTTTTGGGTTAGAAGCTCAGTGCAGCGGTCTGGAGCTGGCCATTTCTGCAGCTGGAGTTCTCCTAACACCAACACCTAAGCGGGATAAAGGTCCCCCGTCCTCCTTTTTGGTCTTGAGTCGCCGGGTTGTTTGTGGAGGATTCCCGACCTCTCCTTGATCTTTCTTCTGCTAATGGCAATCACCACTAGTACCTCGCCCAATGTTCGCAACCCGTCAGGGATGCGTTTTCCCCCCCTGAGACATTCAACGTTCAACGTCAATTTCAACGTCGGTGGTCGTCGGAGGGTGGACATTTGAGGTTTTGGGGCCTTGCAAGGGCCAAGAACGCGTAGGACCGGTAGCTACGAGTAGGAGGCCGAGGAGGCCGCAGTCCTTTTTCGAAATTGAAACGGTGCAGGTCCTACACGTTGTATTCAAATACAATCTGTACCCTTTCTATTCAAATTTTGAAAAGAAATACCTCTTGTATTCTGATAAAATTACTTCTTCTTTGTGTTGGAGGTCAGCGCCTGCCCTTGTGCTCCCCGCCACTGACATGCTGCATGCTGCAGCTCTCTCTCTCTCTCTCTCTATATATATATATATATATCACACACACACACACAAACACACACACACAAACACGCACACACAAACACGCACACACACTCTCTTCGAGTTGTGTATAGCGAACATGACAAAACATACATACAACAGATTCACTACCTTACCCTTCCCGAACCACATAAACGAACGACCTACGGGCGGCGCAGCTGTGCCCTCGCGGTAAGTCGATTGGGAAATTAGGGAAAACTGGCAGTTTTCCCAAACTCCTGAAAATTCGGAGGCCTGGCCCAACGACGGCTGCCATTGAGAAATCTGATCGGCGGTGGTCGTTTCGTTTCGGCCATCCGAAAAGGTCGGAGGCCCATCCGAGGCCCGCTATTTTCCCACGCGGCAAAGGTAGTAAAAAAAAAAAAACAAAAAAAAAAACAGAGTGGTACCCAGGCTCGGCAAACTCGGACGCAGTGAAAATCAGGGACGGCAAAAACAGGCTCGGAGGTAGCGTTTTTTTTTTCTTTTCTTTCGTGAAACTCACCTGCCCTACTAGGCAATTCAGTCCCCTCCATCAATTTCGTTCATCTGGTTGCAACTGCTGTGGATTCGAACTAACGTCCGCATTTCAACAGTTCATGGGTGTCCCAACTCAGCGAAGCTCTCATTGGTTCTGCATTGTTTCCCAATCAGTGGTCGTCTTGCTTTGAGGTGCACAGATGGCGCCGACAAACTCCTCCGCACTCGTGCCTACCCTGGCCCCGACGATCCAGCGCCGACGACCGACCAACTCCGCCCTCCACTAACACGGACAACGGCCATCAACAGGATCAGCCAGCTCCGTCGGACCACCTCCGCCATTGCCGCCATTGCCGCCATTGCCGCCATCGCTGATGCCCTCAGAGACTCACGCGAGGCTCCCGTTAATTCACGGCGGTCGCTTCTCAGAGCTTCGGTACGAACCATGGGGGGGGGAAAGAGGGCTGGCGCTGAGTGCCAGAATTAGGGGAGAAGGACGGCGGTGGGTACTCGTGGAACTTACATGGAGCTGGAGATGGGGAAGAAGCCTCTGCAGCATTGCTGGGCAAGAGGATAATAGAGTAGTAGGAGAGGAGTAATGTATGCACAGTCACATGATGAACAGACCCGATTCATTGTCTATTGCCGATTCCAGACGAGACGTTGTGATTTCTTTGTCAAGAAACTTTCTGTACGTTCAGTCTGTGCTCTCACCGTTGTCTTTCTGCTTTCAACTTTTTTGCTCACACGTGCTCTTCCCGCTTCGAGTCCTCTTCGGTTGCGCTTCTTTGCGCCGCTGCCCCTTAAATTTCGGCTGTGAATTCTGCTCCACGCTCTCCCCCCCTCCTTGTCTCCTCCCTGTACCCCCGATGCGCGGCCTCTCTTCTGCGCCTCAGCTTCCGCTCGGCCCCTCTTCTGCACCGCAGCGGGGCCACTTGTTAAGTTAAAAAAAAAAAAACTCACACTAAGTCTGTGGAGCACAAGCCAAATATACAAAAGAGAGAGAGAGAGAGAGAGAGAGAGAGAGAGAGAGAGAGAGAGAGAGAGACGGTAATTCATGGCAATGTCGTCAGACCCAGGAGGGGGCGGATCTCTGCCTGGCGGCGGGGAACTGCCACATCAGTCATCCGGGGCGGACATGCCGAACGGCGGCGGCGGCCCCCGATTAGGTCTCGACGTGGGGTCAGCCGCCCCAAGCATTGACCCGTCGTCATCATCATCCAAGTTCAGAGTGACCTTTCCCGAAATGAAGCGTCCTCCTCCTTCTAAGGAGCGCGAACGCGATGGCGGCGGCGCCGCCGCCGCCGCCGCCGGGGTCGATGGCCCTTCCCCTGCAGAGCGCAAATGGTATATGAAAAGACCAAGCGAGCTCATCGCTGAGCAGACGGCCAAGGGTTTCGACGAGCCCGCTGCATCGCGGCGGGTCATCCAGCAGCTTCAGGGCATGCTAGCTGTGCAGAGTGTACGGTATCCTGTGCGTCTGCGAAAGATAGAGGAGGAGGTCAGCAGTGCTCGTAAGAAGATGGAAGAAGTGCAGAAGAAGGTCGATCTATTGGCCGACAAGGTAGATGGGAAGCCGGATTTTGCGGCAGTGGCCTTAACCGGGTTCTCGTCGGCTGCATTTGGCGTTTTCCTTAATCGGGCCCCCGACATCTGGCGGTCGTTGATGGAAGTGCAACAGTCCCTGTCGTCGGTTGTATCTCGCAAAGCAGATTGATCAGACTCCGGCGGCCTAATGAACTAGCTCCTCCCGCTATCGACCAATTGCTCCCGCCAACTATCTACCTTCTCCCGCCAATTAACTACCTCCTCCTGCCAATTAACGAGCTCCTTCCGCCAATTAACGAGCTGCACGTTTTCCTCCCGCCAATGGTCCACCTCCTCCCGCCAATTAAGGAAACTGCACGTTTTCCTCCCGCCATTGGTCCAGCTCCTCCCGCCAATCAAGGAAACTGCACGTTTTCCTCCCTCGATTGATCCAGATCTTCCCGCCAATTAAGGAAACTGCACGTTTTCCTCCCGCCATTGATCCAGCTCCTCCCGCCAATTAACAACCTCCTTCTGCCAATTAACGAGCGCTCCTTTCGCCAATTAAGGAACGTGCAAGTTTTCCTTCCGGCCAATGATCCAGCTCCTCCCGCCAATTAACGGCGATCTCCTCCCACCCATTGACGAGCGCTCCTTCCGCCAATTAAGGAGGTGCGCGATTTCCTCCTGCCAATTAACGATTTCCTTCCGCCAATTAAGGAGCTGCACGCTGTGTAATCGGGGGATTAGATTCCATCATGGATCAGATCGGCCCGAATCGGACGGCTGCGCACCTCCTGTGCACAAGGAGGGGGAGGGGGAGGGGGGGGGGGGAATATACGAGAGCCATCGCCTGGATCTTCCGGTCGCAGGTCTGCTGGTGTTGCATGATGATGATGAGGATGATGATGATGATGATGATGATGGCGATGATGATGATGATGAGGATGATGATGATGATGATGATGGTGATGATTGCCGGGATGTCGAGGAGGACCTTGGCATTAATTGATGCTGTACATCGCGGTCTATTATATGGATATGCTACGACGATGATGTGATCATCCACGTCATCATGGAGATTGGGAGAAGGGAGGAGGACGTGGAAGGAGGAGGAGGAGGAGGAGGAGGAGAAAGTAGTAGGACGTGGAAGGAGGAGGAGGAGAAAGGAGGACGTGGAAGGAGGAGGAGGAGGAGGAGGAGAAAGGAGGAGAACGTGGAAGGAGGAGGAGGAGGAGGAGGAGAAAGGAGAAGGACGTGGAAGGAAGAGGAGGAGGAGAGGGATGGGACATGGAAAAGCACTCCGGTTTTGTTTGAAATGGGTCACATTGGGTGTTACATTCTGGTAAGGCGAATCAGGACGGTTTTTCGGCCAAGGTTCATCCGGAGGAGAGGGAGGAGACTGAAAAAGAAAAGGAAAAGCGAGAAATGACAGTTTATTGAATGAGAGGATGATGTAGCGAGTCGCATTGGGTTGGGTGTTACATTCTGATAAGACTAATCAGGACGTTATTTCGGACAAGGTTCATCCGTGTCATCTGGGCCGTCGTCTGAGGAAGGTTGTCTGTTATGAGGAAAATGGGTCAAGGTGGTTAACGGATGGAGGAATTTTTTTGTCCATTTTTTTGTTGACGAGAGTGGAATATCGCATCGGACTGAAGCTGCCCGGAGAGTCTGTTAAGGAGAGTCGCTGGCTTTTCTTCCGGAGAGTATGATTTCGTGTTTTTTTTTTTTTTTCGATTTTAACACTTTTTTTTTTTTTCGATTTTAACACTTTTTTTTTTTTGAAAACCTTCATATTTGAGAGAGCATTTTTCGTTTCAATAGACAGAAAGGCAAAGTATCCTCTCCTTTTTTCTTTCCCCCGCGTTCTTGGGGTGAGATCACTGAGATGGTGATTTCCACAATGTCATCTTATCTTGTTCATGTAAATTACTCGTATCATTTTTTCCCTCGTTCTTGATTGTAGGATCATTTTTGTATGCCCGTTCCCACTTCTCCTCTTCTCTCTCTCTCTCTCTCTCTCTCTCTCTCTCTCTCTCTCTTTCTGTCTGTCTCTCTCTCTCTCTCTCTCTCTCTCTCTCTCTCTCTCTCTGTGTTTTTCATCTGTCTCTTTTGTCCCTGAATTGATATTCTTCCGTATCCCCTATGCTTCTCAGACGCGGGTGTGTGATTTTTGTTTGTTAGCCCCATTGGTTTGCGATTTGGGTAGAGATAGTTGGAGTATTATTCACTCTCTATGGGTTTTCTCTCCGTCTACAAATCAGCCCCAGGATTACGGCTGAGGCCTCCACTTCTCAATGTTTTGTTCTTTTCCATCTTTCCCTCTCTCTCGCGGACACACACACACAAAAAAGGAGAAAAACCTGCTGGCTTTGTTTTCTTTTGTTTGCTACACGCACTGGCACTGTTTATACGGCGTCGATCTATTCCTGAGGGCTCCCAAAAATACGCGTGGCGATGACTTTTGTCCATGATGACAGCTTCTTCCTCCTCTCGACAGCGAATGCGAATGTGATGAATGCCCAGTTGGTGGACACAGAAAATATATGCTCGCGCTCTTATGGCAGGCCCCATTCATTCTTGTCATTCTTGTCATTTTTCGAGACATCCGTTAAAATTGGAACGATACAAAGACGAGAAGAGGATTACCATGGCCCCTGCCCCGCAAGGAGGGCGCACATATAGGAAAGCAGAAAGAGAAAAAAAAAAAAAAAAGAAGACGATCTTGTCGGTTAAGAATGCAAGTTGGAGTCAAAACAAAGTTGGAGTCCACAAACTTACAAGGGTAAAAACACGTGCTACTCATGGCGGGGAGGGAATTTTGTTTCTTGTTAACTTCTTGGGCCATAGCTTAACCCCCCCCCCTTAAAGGGCGACCTCGGCCTCAAATTCTCAAGCTTTGGAAATCCTTCTCTTCTTACCTCCTCCTTCTCCTCCTCCTCCTCCTCATCATCATCATCATCATCATCACCACCACCATCATCGTCATCATTGTTGTTGTCACAACCGTTCCCCATCATGCCATTGGCTATGATTAGCGTATGGATATATTATCGCCATTACAGAAGATAGAAGTCGTTGGTTTATCATAGAGACGATTTCGGGCAAACGAAATTCCCATGGTTCAAAAATACATAAATAAATAAATAAATAAATCAATAAATAAATTCCCATAGTGTGACGGGCGGTGTCTACAAGGCCTGCTGAGTACATATTCACCGCGGCATGCTGATCCGCGATTACTACCTTCTTCCCCCGAATACAACGCGCGGTCATTATAGCTGTATTTGAGGCATCTTTCAGTCTAGACACATCTATAAATTACTATAATGACCGTACGTTGTATTCGAGGGAAGAAGGCAGCGATTCCAACTTCATGTTCTCGAGTTGCGTCCGCAACGGTTGTTCGAGGAAACGGGAATCCCACAATGGTGGTCCCCACTGACGGGCCAGTTTAGTTCCTTGAGGGAGGGCCACGTCTTCTGGCCCCCGCCAGCTGACGAGCAAGAGGGACTTTGGTGACATGGAGGCCCCCTGAAGGCAAGCGGGCTCGCCTTACCTCTCTCTATTTGTCTCCATCTTGTCAGACTCTCGATTTTGATTTTGCTGCCTGAATCTGGCGCCGTCGGGCCACTTGCTCTTACTCAAGATCAGCGAAAGTCTGGATATACTCTGAATATCGCAATTCAAAAATAGAAAATTCTGAAAAAAAATAAAAATAAAAAATCTTACTGTATCGGGATTGAGACGGAGGAAGGTCAGCACACTGGAGAATGGGGAACCAGAGTGGGGAATGCAAGTTCCCCGAACAGGTCACACTCTGATTTCGATCCACGAAGGGCGAGAGTCGGGCCTGTTGGTGGAAGGAAGTGGGGGAGGAAGTTACACGAGTGGCCAGGGGGGGAGATCCCACTAGCAAAGAGCGGGGGGGGAGTAGGGGGGAGACGGCGCAGTGGTGGTGGAAGTCGGGGAGCAAAGTACACGAGTGACCGGCGGCGCGCGGGGAGGATCCCATTAGCAAAGACGTCTGAGTTCAAGTGCGTGACTCTTGGATGGGCTTTAAGCAGAGAGAGATGCAGAACAGCTTAACCGGTATAATTTTGTCTCTCTCCTCAAAAAGCTTTTTACAGATTCTAGCACTAATTTTGTCTCTCTCCTCGAAACCTTATACATATTGGAGCACTCGTTTTGTCCCTCTCCTCAAAAGCTTACGGATTGGAGCACTTGATGATCTAATTGTTCTTGCTAGTTGGACCTCGCCCCTTGCTCGTGTTATGCACACAGAATGGGGCAGGCGGGGCGATTGTGGGAATGGTGGTTTAAGTCATCGAGGACACCTCTGTTTTCCCATTCTTTCCAGGATGGGCCCTTCCCTTCAAGAAATGATCTCCGGCAGTGACTGGGGTTTCAACTCCTTCAACCATAAGCAATTTCCTCAAAGAAATAGTCCACATTTATGAAGTGATTTGTGCATTTCAACCCCTTTAACCACCAGCACTTGCCACTCGGTCATAGCCTTGCAGGAATTTGTTCGTCATCATCTAGTTCAACGTTTTCGGGGCTCGGAGAAGGCCCCGTCGTGGCGTGGGCCATGGGGGAACGAAGCTGCAGACGAAAGTTAATTGTGTTTGAGTGGTTTTCCTTTCCAGCAACTGTTTACCACACAGCTTTCGCCCCCGAACCGCTTTTTTTGTGTGTTTTGCTTTGCTTTTCCAAATTCATAAGGCAAGGTTACCCTCAGTTGTTAGGCCAAATAACTCAGAAAAAGAGGTAAAAGGATGCCCCAGAAGTGCTTTTTGCTTTGCTTTTCCAACCCATGTTCTGCTGGATTATGCTGCACATGCGGAAGCTCGGAGACATGCTCGAACAAGACAAGAGGCAAAAGAGCAGAAAAAAAAAAAAAAAACAGGCAGAAATGGAGTGCAGCAAAAAAAAACAGAAAAACTTGGCATCTGTTGAAACAGGTGCCTGCCATGAATGGCATGAATGGCCTTTGGCTCCGTGGCTAGAGGACCGGTTGGAAATGAGCGTTGTGGCAATGAGGTTGCGGGTTCAAAACTCCGTCGCATCGCGCACCTACACTGGTAAGCGCTTTCATAACGCACAAGCCATCCGTCCCACCCCCATGGGACGACGTAAGATTTATACAGATACTGCCTGCGCACCGCCGAAGGGGTCTAGGTCCATGGTTGTAGTATATGCTGGATAGAGCCATAGGGAGGGCTGCTTCAGTGATTGGTCTGAGGGGGTCTGAGGATCACGGTCTTATCTTGGCACCACCATGGGGGGGGGGAGAAGGGGGAGGGATGGGTCAGGGTCATTAAAGGGGGAGGGTTTACTACTGCCTAGACTGTCGATAACAAAAAAACTGCCGAGACTGTTGATAACCAAAAAACTGCCAAAACTGTCAAAACTGTCCACACCTCGGCATGGCCAGTTGGACCCTCTGATCTGTCAGTCTTGCCAGTATGTACGAGTCTGCGGGGGGTGCCAAGACCTATCCCTCTCCCTTTAATGACCCTGAGTACACGGGGGTGCCTAGACTGTCGATAACCAAAAACTGCCTAGACTGTTTATAACCACGAAGCTGCCAAAGCTGTCGAAACTGTCGATACCTTGGCATGGCCACTTGGACCCTCTGATCTGTCAGTCTCGCCAGTATGTACGAGTCCGCGGGGGTGCCATGGTCGAGCCTGGGTACTACAGGTAGCATGTTTCCCGTCACTATGGCACCCCTACGAGAGTCCACACAGAGTGAACTTAGCCTGCCGTAGGGCCCACCTCGGGCAGGGGAATCCTGCACAAGCACTGGGTCTCAGTATGGGCCCTATGGGGTAGATACCGGGTATTTCTCATCCCACAGGTATCTCACGATGCCTGCGGGTGGTGCTTCATCCAGGTTGGGGTCCGTGGGAATTCTCATTGGGGGAGTTCGTTGGGACTGACGATTCTTGGGGAGAGTGGGGTAGGAAGGCACCGTGCTTAGGATAGGTGAGGGTGGGATATCGCATCTTAGGGGAAGGGTAGTTCACTGCCCATAGAGTCATATTTCCCTCTCTATTTAAAAAAAGAACAAGTCTATGGGACGAGGCACCAGATGGGGGACGACTGCAAATGCATGGACCCCACTAGAGTTAGGGTAGTCTGTCTGCACGAAGACGTTCGGGTTAGTCTGGTAAGCGCTGGCGCAGATCACGACTTGTTCCTTTTTTAATTAGAGAGAGAAATATGTCTCTTTTTTTCATTTAGAGAGAGAAATATGTCTCTTTTTTTCATTAGCATAGGTCATTGTACAATGGTGCCATCCTGAGGCGACTCCCCAATGGATGGGTCCTCGCAGTCTGTCTGACTTCCCCCTGGATCCTCGCTATCCCTCTTACCTCCCAATGGATGAGTACTGCGGGCACCTCCTGAGGCCTGGCCAGGACCGATCAAAACAGGTGCCTGGCTCGTATTTGGAGGCAGCTGCCGATCAAAACAGGACCTCCCAATGGATGAGTACTGCGGGTAAATTCAATATTGTGTCTAATCTGACATCGGGTGGCCTTTTCAGCCCAGGGTGGCCTTGATTGCCTTCAGGGAACCCCCAATGGGGGACACCGGCCAGGGGACAGGGGGTAGCAGAGGGACCAAGCATCATCTGAGTGGCCAGTCA